ACAGTTTATTTATGTTATTTTAATTTTAACATTAATGTTATATGCTTTAATGTGATTTTAACCTTAAACTGAATAAATTCACTGATGCCAATCATTAACATTTTCCTTTAAAGTAAATTCTTATTTTATGACAAATCTAATTTTTGAAGCAATATTGCAGCATTTATTATAAAAGATTTTTCATTGTAATTTTTCTCAAATTCATGTGCCCTCGTCTCATAATCGTTAATCAAAATATCTTCCCCTCCCTCTTGAAACAACACCTTGTCTCTTTTTTTGATGGCGTGTTTACTGGGGCAAGCGTGGGGCAACCTGTCACTCACATGAGATCGCAGCAATAGCAGACGACAACGATCCAATCAATTCCCATTAGACAAAATGAAGTCTCGTCCTACATTTTATCTTATTTGAGAAACCATTTCAACTGCATTTTTTCTCTTATTTGTGTGCAAACAGATGATTAGAATGCCGGTTAAAATAGAATAGTGGCACAATTTCAGATTCGCCATCTTAATAAATGCTTGTATGTACACTACAAATTAAACAAGGCATCACAATACTGAGATATTGCAGAATCCCTGATTCCCATCCTCTAGTGTCTATTCAAGAAAACAGTCCATATTTTGTTTGGTTTGAGAATAAGGGCTCATCTAAGTGCGTCAACTAGGCGAAGTGTGCTGAAGAGGACAGGTTGGACGCCTCTCCCCTGTGATCCAGTTGGTTTTGCATCTGTGTGATTTTGTCCAGAACCTCCAACTCCTGGTGCTGCCGCTCTGTTTTGTGGCTGACCAGCGAACGGTAGAAATGCACAGCGAAAACAATGAACACCAAGCCAAAGGGCACCATGATGGAGGTAGAGGCGATCGCTGCAGCTTCCCCTGGGCTTATACCTCGAGATTCATTTACATTCGCTTTCGAGGCAGAATCTTTAATATTCTTCAGAGGGAGGAACTTCACCCAGCACAGAAGAACCACCTCTGCAAGAAAGAGGAGGGTGCCTATGACGGTGGAGAAGGCCCAGGCCAGCTCGATGTGGCGGTGCATGCGCTCGTGTGGCGATTCCTTTATGGAGTTGAGGTTGTGGACGTTGCTCACGGCCTCCAGGTTGGGCAGGATACATGTGCTGATCATCAAGGCAAAGAGATGGACGGCCACCAGCACTGTTGTGCAGGCACTGAAAGCAATCAATAAGCCAGGAGGGTAATCGTGATCATCCTCTAGCTGGACCTCCACCATCGCCACCTGAAAACACATTCATTAGTAACATAAGACTGAAAAAAGAAAATCACAGTTAACCTCAATAAATTAAATATTCAAATAAATAAATTGAGAAAAAGCATGCACAGCTGTTACTTTTACCGAAACATATTCCTTTAATTCTGAATTCGTTTTTTTTTTTTTTTAAACCAAGCATTGGCTATTGAGAGTTTAATTTTGGCATACAACAAGAAATTATTAAATTAATTAGATTATTAAATTAAACTACATGGCAGTGCTATTTTAGTATCATTGAGATTCTATTATTTTAATTAGCTTTTATATTACATTTTTCCATTTTAATTTTTAGTAATATATGTATTACTAATATAATATATTTAATTTTCCATTTTTAACGTTTTAGTAATTTTGTGGTTTTGTCATTTGTATTACTTTTTGATTTAAATATGTCCATGCAGTTTTTACTCATTTTTATTGTTATTTTAGTTTAGTTATTTTAGTACACCAAGTAAAACTAACTGATCGTAAGAAATATTGCCCTGGCAAACCAGTAGAAATAAAATAAGTATAATGTTAACTATAATAACCCTTCTACATAAACAGATATTGTTCGATTAAAACATTAATGCTTGCATTCAATCGTCTGGCTAAATATGGATTTAGATGTGACTGATGAAAATTATATAATCCCAAAGAAAATGGATAAAAAAAACCTTGATTTTATTGAAAAACAAGACAAAAATTTTGATTAAGAAAATTATTTTTTTACAGTGTGGCAGACAAATTATAATTTGGTAGACAAATTGTTTTTCTCATGCTTTTGAAAACACCACTGATCACATGTCCTCTGTTTAATGAGGCCCAAAAGCAGCCCAACATGTTACATGGTGCCACAGATGCAAGTGGCACCATGTAACAAGTGCACTACTCTTGTACGGTCAGTACAACCAAGTAAGAAAACTACAACTGAAATGTGTAATTATGCTGCATGTTCACACGGATCCCTAAGAGAGAGCTGTTTATGAAATGCAGTTTCCTCATGCCACTCATATTCAGCTCATTTCCTGTGCTGCACTTATTGCTCAGAGACTAACCTCAAGCACAATAATCACCCTCTACGCCTTTTTCCAGTCGCTTACACGTATTTCCCGAAACTTATAACACCTTTCTGGTTCTCAGGTCAGTCGAAACTGTAGTTACGAGAACAAAATAAATAGGCTTATGAACTTTAACAGGGGAGGAAACAATGCTTCCCATATCTTTTGTTGTTGAAATCAAAGGCTGTGTGTTCAATCAAACTACAATATGAACAGGTTGCATAACATGTCCTCGTATTAATATTTTATGAGAAAAACTGAAATGCAGTCAGGGAATATCTGCATTAATGTTTTCATATCAATATCAATTTATTTTAATAATATGTCAAATCAAGTCAATTTTTATTTGCATAGCACTTTTGACAATACACACCGTTTCAAAGCCATTTTGTTTCCTTTACAGAAATTCATGATAATAATACCTTATTGTCTACCTTTCCACGTATAGCAGTTTATTTTACACCAATCACTGACAGTCATTATATATATATATATTGAGAGAGAGAGAGAGAGAGTTATTCTACATGATTCTATATTCACATTTATAATGCAATGGACTTTTATCAGTTTACTTAACACAACACTGTCAAAGGAAGTACATTTCCTCTGTGCAAGGGATCTTCCAGTAAACGGAAACATGTCACTGATGATAGTGAGGCCCTTACAAATTTCACCACAATAGTTAATACAGTTATTGCTACTTTACAATTATAATTAATAATACAAGACCTCCTCTCAACATTGTAAGATGCTTTTAATTTTATATTAGCTGTGGTCAATACAAGTTCCCTATGAAATTGTAGACCTCACTGTTTCACTGTAATAACAATTACTGCAGTAATGCAGTAGTTATTTTAACTGCAGTAATAATATTTAAACTATTTGGTATTTAAACAATTTAATTTAGAGGAGTTTTGTTCGTAATCGTATCGGTGTTAACGACTCTTTTAAGTTAACAAATCATCCTCGTTTACTCCCACGCACTGGCTCAAGCTTTTCATTCACTGAAGGCACTTGAACCGACTGCGTTCTTGCCCTCAATGACAGACTACAGCATAAACCAATGGCATTCGAGTCCGTGTTGTGAAGGAACATTTCATTTGTTGAGCCTGCTGAACGAATACGCCCTCCTTCACTGAACCAGTCGCTGTTTTGCAGGAGATTTGGTGCCGTGCTGAAAGAGATGACTCTTTTGTGAACAAAATAAATGAACTCCGAAAAATAGTTATTAAAGGATAAGTTCACTTCCAGAATAAAAATTTCCTGGTAATTTACTCACCCCCATGTCATCCAAGATGTTCATGTCTTTCTTTCTTCAGGCGAAAAGAAATTAAGGTTTTTGAGGAAAACACTCCAGGATTTTTCTCCATATAATGGACTTCAATGGTGGCCAACAAGCTGAAGGGCCAAACTGCAGTTTCATTGCAGCTTCAAAGAGCTCTACACGATCCCAGCCGAGGAATAAGGGTCTTATCTAGTGAAACGATCGGTCATTTTCTTAAAAAATTTATATAGTTTTTAACCACAAATCAAATCGTCTTGCACTAGCTCGACTTCACGCATTACGTAGTCATGTTGAAAAGGTCACGCGTGACATAGGCGGAGTGTTTACAAAGCGAATGTGCAAAGAAAGTCAAATGCCCTTCACAAAAAAAGGTAAAACAACGATGTCGGATGATTTTGAAGTTGAAGTTTTTTGAACCGGAGTACACAGACGAAGAGCTAACCGCGTGTGACTTTTCCAATATGACTACATAATGCGTGAAGTCGAGCGTGCGCATCGCAGAGCTAGTGCAAGATGTGCAATTGTGGTTAAAAAGTATATACATTTTTTTTTTTTTTTAGAAAATGACCGACAGTTTCGACTGGGATCGTGTAGAGCTCTTTGAAGCTGCAATGAAACTGCAATTTGGACCTTCAGCCCGTTGGCCACCATTGAAGTCCATTATATGGAGAAACATCCTGGAATGTTTTCCTCAAAAACCTTCATTTCTTTTCGCCTGAAGAAAGAAACACATGAACAACTTGAATGACATGGGGTGAGTAAATTACCAGGGAATTTTTATTCTGGAAGTGAACTAATCCTTTAAATGAGAATCTACAGCTAGATTTAAGGACAGGGGACTCCGAATTTGTAACTAATCTACTGAGTGAATTATTCAATGATTCATGACACAAAAAGACACTCTTGTCGCCCCCTACTGGCGAGTACCTGCAGAAAAGACCACGGAACGAATCGTTGAACGGGTAACAATGAATCTTTTTAGTGAACGGAATCAAAAGATTCGAATCACTGGGCTGAATCAAAAAGCCCACCACTGAGAGCACCAACTAACACTTCTGAGAATTATGTCGAAGAAGGACTTAAATACAAGGCTAGTGTAAAAGGCTAAAGTTTAAACCCCAAAGAAGAAGAAGAAGGCTAAAGTTTCTAGTCCTCTGATTACGCTCTATCCATGACAGGTGTCGTTTGCGCATCAAAGTGACTGACATGTCATGCGTCATGTTACAAGGCTCTAACTGTGCGTTCACACCGCCGGCGGTGAGAGCGTCAAAGTGACCGGAAGACATTCATTTTCAATGTGAGCGGGCCGCCGGCGGTGTGAACGCACAGTAACTCCGAAAACTTCCCAGGCTTTCGAGAAATCGAAGTTTCTTCTCTGCATACAAAGTGTTAAGTAATTACTTCATTAACTCACCATAGCAAAGCCGGAGAGCAGAGCAGAGGTTCTGCTGGTCGCTTTAAGTTTAGCTCGACTCAGGTAAAGTTTTCTCCAGGACAAAGCTTGAAGCGAGTGCTCGTTTGAAGTCATTGCAATTGTTTTGGTGTAAATTCAAAACTTTTGAAACTTAATGCTTTAATCCGAGATCGCCTTTGTATCTTCTTGATTACCCTTCGTATGTTTGCCGAAGCGCTTCAACCCGATGTGACATACTCAGATTGTGAAATGACTAACCCTCGGCACTACAATCTGATCCATCAGAAACTACAAGTCAAGCTACCCACAATGCACCGCTGACGGTCACCACGCAGATGACGCTTTGTGGGATTTGTAGTCCACAACATTTTTTTCCCACGCGGGATCGATTTGAACGGTCATGTCCTGGAATTGTTTTTATGTGGGTGCCGTTAATATATATTGTATACCCTACTCCCCCATTCTCATTTGAAAGCTTAATTCTCGACCCAAAAGAGTTTATTTGCTCAATGAAACCCACCAAATGTCTAAATTCATTTTAATTTCCGCCCTAATGACTGTCTTGTTTTGTTTTAACAGGCGCAGAATGTGAACTGGCGTTAGGAATCTGTATGATGAATGAATAAGGTAATCTCTCTACCTCAAATTTGGTGTTTTTTGTTTGCACATAGCTGGTGTACAACTGATTAGGTGGTACACAGCCAAATATAGATGGATGCTTTTGTGATTAAGAAACTGAAATGAGGTTTTATATCTAACTATAACTGTTTTTAAAATGTACTATGGGTTTTACATCATAACCAATACTGTGGTGTTTGTAGGAAGGCCATAATAACCACAGAGGTCAAACCATGAATGGACCCCTATTACAGTGGTTAAATCAATGTAACTGTAGTTTCTACAAACTAGGCCATTTGTTAATAAAAATAGCAGCCTATAAAAATACAGATTGTATAACTACATTTCCGTAATTGTAGGCCTTATAAAATGATTGAGCTCCGTTTGCAGTAATTGTTAACATGAATCAGCATTATCACTAGAATACCATAGTTACTGTAGTTAGTGTTACTATAGTAAAACTATGGTAAGTTTTCATAAGAGATTATTTTAATTCGACAAGTTAATTTTGCAATTTCCTTAAAAGACATTCATGACAGTGCAGGGTAGATAAGCAGGAGACTGGGTTAGTTAGCACAGTGAATAAATAAGGTTATTTTCTTTATAGGCACTTACCTATAAAGTTGTAGCTTTGAAAAAAGCTAAATTTTCCCCCCCAAACCAGTTAAGCACAAACCCTGCCCCGAAGCGAATTGTAAAAATTGCATTGGTCATGTCAATCACAGAGCCTATTGCCATACCACTGAAGTTTAAGTTGACCAATGAAATCAGTGGTTTGGGGGATGCAAAAATAAATTATGAGGCTTCAAAGAAATTAGGAAATAAAACATTTCATGAAACAGCAGTGTAGCATACAAAAATACTTAAGCATAGTTTTGGACAATTAATATTGTAATTATAGTTACAAAATTTAAAGTTGGCATGAAATTAGAATTAACCGTATGTATTTTCAAATGATTCATCTATTCAGGATGAAAACAAAACAGTGTTGTGTAATTGGATGGGGTTATTATAGGTAATTAAAACTAAAACCATAATAAAATATTTTTGTTACTTGAAAAAAAATAAACATTAACTGAAAGAAATTAAATATAATATAATTATAAAGTATAAATTAAATATTTTTAGCCAAGTGCAAAGTCAGCATTTCTCTTTTTTTATTTAGTTTAACTTGAGGTACTATAATAACGGAAACTAACACTTAAATAACTATATAGACAGGAAAAAATTAAAATGACAAATACACTACAAAATTACTAAAACTTTAACTAAAATTAAAATGAAAATATTTTTTTTTCAAGATATTAATAAAAACTGCAATAGTATCTAGTGCTATTTAGCTATTTAGTGATACTAAATAGCACTACTTTGTATTCAAAACCTTATAGTTTCATTTTATTTTAACATTAGTATCTGTATGACATCTTATTGTGTTTTTTGTCTTTTTTTTTTTTTTTCTTTCTTTTTTCTAAATTGATGCAAGTGGTTCGACAGGTTGTTCTGGAGAGTTCAGCCTTTTGATTTTAATCTTAACATCGTTAAACCTTAACTGATGTACTTAAGTTCAAACAACTTCCCAAATGTGGACGCCCAAATCTGCCATTCAGCAGAATAGTAAAATAAATGCTGATCCAAACAAAGCCCGCTTCCTTATGTCTGGCTCATGTGAGAGTTCCTAAAAAAAATTAAAAAATAAAGGCACCTAAATGTGACACATCTGACCATTGCCATTCAAATGAGCACCACAGCTTGTTTCACTAACACTACTGTATGAGCCTTTCATGCACTGATGCTTGCAGACAACAACACAGCAACACATTAGACTAAAACAATCCAACCCAGATCAACCGATAACTTCCTGTATTTGTAAGAGGAAGGCAACATCAGACCCTTCGAATCACTCGCAGAGCGAGACCTTGCTCTCGCACGGTAATGTCAGAAGTCCTTTTGTGTGCGGCAGTGCCGCCCCTCCCCCCTTCCATCTCCCACTCAGACCCACAGTACAATGTGTGCTCTTTGTAGGCAAGCCTGTAACTGGACGCCAGGTGGTCTGTGATTGGCTGAGCTGAGGCCCCCCTCTTTCCCCCCCATTTTCTTTTTCTGGTGCATATGCATGAGATAGCAGGCTGGTGTGTGCCTGCCTGTGCAGTTGCCTGTTCCAGACAGAAAAAGAGAGGGAGAGAAACAGGAGCGAGACATTGGGGAAGGTTAGAGGAAGAGGAATAGAGAAAGGAAATCGGGTGAGGAGACGGCGGGCAACTGTGATTAGTGGGGTTGTAATCATGTCTATGTTCTGTTTGTCTGGCTGGCTATGAGATCAGGCAGCCATGGCCATGTCGCTGAGTGCCGACGATGAGGATTACGACTCGGATACAGCCGAACAGGTCAGTACACACTCTCTCTCTCCTCATACACACCACACAAACAATTAGCCATCTTCTCAGGTTCCCTTCCTCGTAGCACCATGGCTCTCAAACAAGGCATGTGTTTTCTCTTTCTCTTCTGCTTTCTTCACCTTCCTCACCATCTTTCTTCTCTTTCTCTTTCTGAAACAGTGCCTGGTTTTTTGATTTATTGCAATAGTATAAGACCGGAGAGGTTTCCATGCAAAAGGAAGGGGAAAAAACTAATACAACAGAGAAGAGTGGCTCTGTCTTATTGTTTGTCTCCATTGAGTTTCAGCTATCAGTTGTGATTGGTTTGAGTCACGTGTACCTCCTTCTGAAAGGCTTGTTTAAATAAAAAGTCATGTTTCCGTTGCTTTACCTTTGTGTTTGGATGTGGTTTATACTGGTTTGTCTCCTTTGTTTTGTTGGGAGAACTAAAATGTAGTAACTAGTAAGTTGTAAAATGTAGTTGCTAGACTTTTGAGGTGTGATGTACTCTGACTTTCACACATGTACAGGGTTGTTAAGAGTAAAAACTGTGTTAAAGGAGGACTGAAGTTCCTCAAAGCAACAGCATGACTGGACATGCGTTTCCCTTAAGTTCCCTTCCCAAGAAGCATTGCTGCTTAAACGGTTTTCTAGGAAATAGAATTACATGCTTGGTTTGTTGTGAGGACAAAATGTACAATACACTGTAAAAATGACTTTTCGAAAGTTGTAAATAAAATATTACTGCACTATGTTTTACAATAAATTACTATTTCAGTTTTCTACTTCAAAATTTCAAATTTAATTGAATGTGTTACTTGGCATTTATGTGTAATTGATTTCTGACATTTATGTTTCTACACCAATGTTTGTTTTTTTGCATCCATTTGAAAGGTTCAAGAATAACTAAGAACATTGGTAGGTTAGTTGTAGGATTTTAGTTTCTAAGGGAGCATAACATGCAGACTTTTGCAACAGACACCTGTGCATTTGCTAACAAATTCTTCAGTTTACTAAGAAACATATTATGCGCATTACATATTGGTGTGAAGTAGCATACACATATACAGGATGTGGATGTCGCTGAACCAAGTAAGCCACATGTGCTCACTAACAACACAAATAATGCATGTGTTTCAAATCTCTTAATCCCTGTTGCGAAATAACTGGGTCCCGCATCTTTAAAACAGTTTCTATGTTGAAGACTGGGGGAGGGGTGAAGCAAAGTGCGGGGGGGGGGACAATAGGAGGGCCCGGCTGCCCCCAGGCCCCCTGTCTGAGTTCATCTTGGGTAGTCTATAAGTCAAAATCTGCGTGTGGAAATTTTTTGCCCTCACCCAAAATTCGTGATTGCGTGGACTCCTGTTGAAATGAACAGCTTTGTGCAATTTGTGTAAATGAGTCAAATTTATTAGTGCTTTCATCTCCAAATATTTGTTTCACATAGCACTTAAAGTTCATCACTAAAGGTCATCACTATTGTGCAGAGGTGGTGGTTAATTCTTCTAGATCACTATATGAAGCCTTATGACTCATTGGCCTTTGACTTGTGTCATGGCGTGTGGGCACGATAAAGTGCCACAAATTAGACATAAACTCTCACCCATGACCATGAGCAAACATATTCACACAGATTGGAATTATGCTTCTATTGGTGTGTACACGACATGACGTGTGGATGATCTGTCTACAACAGGGCTGTCCAAACTCGGTCCTGGAGGGCCGGTGTCCTGCAGAGTTTAGCGCCAACTTGCCTCAACACCCCTGACTGGAAGTTTCTATGCCTAGTAAGAGCTTGATTAGCTGGTTCAGGTGTGTTTAATTAGGGTTGGAGCTAAACTCTGCAGGACACCGGCCCTCCGGGACCGAGTTTGGACAGCCGTGGTCTATAACATTAATGAGTGTTTTAGGATCATCTTTCACATTTGGGTGTGATGCGTTCAAGTCATGTCAGAATTGTATTTATAAGATGACTGCACATCAGTTTGCTTTAAAATTGGGGGCGTGTGAATAAACAACTATAGTAATGAGCATTTTAAGTTGTATTATAAGATGGTACAAATTAGTTTGTATTCATTTTGAGTACTATCATTGAAGAATAATGGTAAAGCATGGCAGAAAACAGGTTTGTGTGACCAAACTTCATTTTCCATGGCAAATGGCAGCACAAGAATGATAAAATATACATGTAAAGTATCATTTGCACCTAAAGTGCATCTTTGCTCTTAATTTTGCTGCATTAGCGCTAAAAGGATTCCTGTCTTTGTCAGGAAGTGGACAGTCGACAAAGGAACATGAAATTGCCCAGCATGTCCATTTTATTCAAGCTAAAATCACTTGAATGGACATTACAGTGTAATTTATTATTTCCAAACTCATGAGCAGGGCTTCAATGCAACCGCAACAGATGATGAATGTGGATTTTTCAGGATAAGAGAATAATTATGTGTGGACTTAGTCTGGAAAAAATGTGTTTCTAGGTGTAATTGCATGCTGACAGGAATGAGAAACCTGGCTGATGTAACGTGATGTTTCTAGATGCAGTTTGTAGAACATTGGGATGTAATGATTTCTTCATGACCCTATAGCAAATCATTGATTTGGTTGAACATTACAGGCAACCTGCAGAAGACATTAAAAGGAATGAGCCTCCTCAGAAAGTACAGCCTGCACTGTTTGTTTGTATGTTTATCTGTTTTGCTGGACTTATAGGTGTCTGTAGATAGATCTCATACACTTAATGTCCATTGATGGCGCAGTGTATAATGGAAGAGTAACTGGAGAACTTCTGAATGAGCTGGTGTTGTACTGTGTTCAAAAGGTCTGATCTAACCGGTCCAAACAGTCATTTATTTGAGGTGGAGATTACATCTTAGGTCCTCACACATGTGTAGCCTTTGGACAGCTGATGAATACTGGCTGTGATGCAGCATTCTTTTTGAAACAACTATCTCTCATATTGGGTTCCACACTCGGACAGTGGGAATAGAGGTCACAGCTGCGATGCATTACTCCAAAGCACAAAAACACTGTTGTGCTCTGTAGTAAGCATTCTTACAGTCAGCATTCTGCACCGCTCTGCAGCTCCATGAATCTGTTATGATGAAACATAGCGCTGGGGAATGGTTGTGTTCTAGCTGTAAGGAAATGATGTCGTATGAAGGAAGACAGGATTTTGCAAGGGCAGGAATAGCTCTACGACAGTATTTGATCTCAATGTCTAAAACATCCCATCAAGATGAATATAACACCATTGATCTTGAGTATATTTCAGTATTACAGTGCTAATATTTAGTCCCTCAGAGGAACTATCTCAGATTCGTCAGATCCAACGGGAAACGAAATCATTAAAAAGAATCTGACGTTAAACCCAATCCGTCAACCACTTCCCCCTTCTGAGCCAATTAAATGTTGAATAGAAGTATTTCTTCAATCCACCAGTCAGCAAGAAATGCTGTGTTGCCATGGTTACATTGCAGAAGGACAGACTTCCAGTACTGCACTGCAGTTTTGTGCATGCGTTGTAATATATTCATTATCTGAGCTGGAAGGCAAGATAGGATTCTTCTGTAAAGGGTGATGATTATTACAATTGCATTGATGCTAATATAAGACATTAGTAATGATACACAAGGTTACATCTTAGCTTCACTGTACAGTGTGAAAGAAAAATGCAAGCTGATGTAATGAACTAATTGTTCACATTAACATGCATCTGTAGCACCTGGTACCAATGAAAACCCCTTTTTTCCTTCACAAGACCAGTTAAAAACAGTGCCATATTGCTAAATGTAATGTAAATTTAAATCATGTATATCATGTCATTTGCATATTTACACGACAAAGGTTAACATTTACAATACATATTTTTTCTGTTATGCTATAAGCTATATAAGGAAAACTGGAATTACATTTTTATTTTGATTTGACTTTGTTGCCAGTTTTATTTATATAGATAGTTGATATTCCGTCAGAGTTTATGTAGTAATGCTAGACTAGAGCCCTGAACTTTACTTTCTAATCGCAAGTAGCCTGTATTTTGAACATTATTACACTTCCAAAGTATTGCTAACATGATCCCATGTGTAACCAGAGCAAATTTGCTGGAATCCACTATTTCTGCTGCTTATTACTACATTAGAGAGCAATCACAATGATCCAAATAACAGAGCGGCATAATGAGGTTCTTAAATAGGTTATATTCCAACAGCTGAGCTGCATGAGCAAAGCAAGAGAGGTGCATAGTCGAGTTAGAAGTGATGATAAACAATAGCAGTCAAATGTTGTAAATCTCAAGGGTGAAAGAATAAAGGATATGAGCATAGATTGTTTTGAAGCATAGTGCATGAATCAAGCAGTAGATTCATACAGGGATTGTGGGTGGGTAGAAAGACAATAAGAGGGGCTGGTAAGAGCTTTAAGACATGGGGAGCTGTATAATGAACAGAATAAAGTCATTACAGAAGAGCACCTATGATACAACACTTAATTTTTTACCACTGAGCTAATCACATGTGAACCAGGTGCCTGTGCCATTTTTTTCTGTCAAGCAAAGGGTAAAAATAAAGACCATGTGAGCTACAAGTATACATTTTACATGCTAGTTTTAATGGAAACATTAAACTAACAGCAGGTTTATATCCACAAATACAGCAAAATTAGATGTTTGCCTTCAAATCTAATACAGAGACCACTTTAACAAAAATCTGAACCAAAATACTGACAAAAAAAATAGCATTTCACTTCTATTCCCAGATGTCTAGTTCGCTTAAATGTAAATCAGTACAGTAAATCTAAGAATCATCAAAATTGTCTGATTTTACTTTTGAAAGCCTCAAATTAGCCTTTTGACTAGAGCTGGACCATATTTTAATCTTTTATGGGCAGCAGTGTGTGCTACGTGGCTGTAATCTATTATTATATTATTTAATTTGCATTCTTCATTTTTTTCCTATTAGCAACGGCTACCCAACAGACCCAAGCCCAAAATGGCTGCATCAACAGCAACAACTCCTGCAGCGACCGCTTCTTCATCCACTGCAACAGCGGTCAAGCTGCCGTCCAGTCGAACTTCCTCTGGAGCTCGCCGTAGACGCACACGATGTCGAAAATGCGAGGCATGTGTGCGGACGGAATGTGGAGAGTGTCACTTCTGTAAGGACATGAAGAAGTTTGGAGGACCTGGTCGAATGAAACAGTCTTGCATTATGAGACAATGTATAGCTGTAAGAAACTCAATTCCAACAGACACTGAGATGATTCATGAGCCAAATGTCACACAGCTAATACATAAAATCACACAAAATCTTTTACATGAGCGACACCCATTTCTAGACACAAAATAAATTCTTGTTGAAATCTGGTGATTTTAAATCAGAATAAAATGTTGAAGCAGTATTAGTGAGGAATTCACTTTAGCCAGTACTCAAGGGCTGTTTACCTAAATTTCATTGAAATTAAATAATTGGAATTCCTCCAGAATTCACCTTCACCACTTACTTCATAGAGCCTGACCAAACGTATGAGGAACTGGCAGAATTCCATGTAAATGTAGTTGATGGAAATGTATCAATACAGACATTTATCAATCTGAGATTCATGATATATGATCGAACTGTACAACTAAAGGTTGTAATTCAGATGAATGGTCCATTATTTTAACAATCACCTTAAAAATTGTTTACCCAAATATGTGTTTTTATCATATTTTGTTATATGTGTATTTTGTAAACACACATTTTCCAAACTGTTGATATTCTGGATATTAAATTGTCGGCCTGTTCCACAGCCCGTGTTACCACATACAGCAGTATGTGTGGTGTGCGGTGAAGCCGGTAAAGAAGACACGCTTGATGATGAAGATGAGAAATTTAACGCCATGCTCATGGAGTGCTCCATCTGCAACGAAATTGTCCACCCAAACTGCCTCAAGGTCAGACTGACTGAACCCATCTTCACTACTAACATAAGAATATATTTCTAAAGTAAATGCAAAGCAGTGTATACTGCGCTCTCTTTTGTTTTGTGTGGGCACAGAACGAGGAATTGATTGGGCTGAAGTGCATGTTTGTGGGTGGCTCTAACAATTTTTAACACCCTTTAGTTCCTCTTTAGTGTGTGGTGGTGTAGTGTATTCAAATACTTTGCTAGAGTGTTTTCATTCCTCTGCTCTAAGTCCGGTCTCTTGCCTATACAGATGAAGGATGCAGCTGGAGTAGTAAATGATGAGCTTCCTAACTGCTGGGAATGTCCAAAATGCAATTACGCTGGGAAAACTGGAAAAGTGAGTATTTGGGGAACAGTGATATAGTGGTTTGAAAGCATTCAACAAAGATTTGCATTTGAACAGAGATACTATTTAGGAAAGTAGTGGAGATAATGAAGATGTCTATACTAAAGTCCGTATTATCAAATGGAGAAATGTGGTGTACAGTTAAGCAGTGATATGTATATGTTTTTTGTAATTTGTTAAATTCATTTTACTTTTTGAACTTGTGTTGCCTTACATATTTAGTTCCTGTTTTAGTTTCTGACAAAAGCATTAAGGGACCTGTGTTTCTCATTGATAAGCCCATAAGGAAACTGTCAAACTAGATCTAGATGCAAATAAAATGCAAATAGACATGTGTTGTGATCATTTTAATTTAGTTTAGTAACTGACAGGCAGTCAAGCTATTTCCCTTAATACAAAACCCTAAAATGGGACCCACTTTATATTAAGTGGCCTTAACAACTATGTACTTGCATTTAAATTAATAATTTGGTACAATGCACTTATTGTGTACATACATGTTTTTACATTGTACTTATATTTTAAAAATACCTGCATGTAATTACATCTGTAATTAATTTCTGTAATTACATTTATAATTACACAGTTGACCCATCCCTTACACCTTAACCCACCCTTAAACCTACCCATACCAACAAACCTGTCCCACCTCAATAGCAGCAAAAGTGTTTTGCAATACAATATGAACACAATAAGTATATTGTACTTAATTTGTGATGTAAGTACATAAATGTTTAAGCCCTAATGTGTAAGCCCTAAAATGTTTAACAGTTAAATATGAAACATGTCATAATAGAACGTATATCATACCAATCCATGCTTAGTGAACAACGCATAACATTCATAAGTTATAAAGTTGTCTTTTGTATTTTTTTGCCACTTTTTGGCCTGCAAGCAAAAACGGGGCCCAGGCTTTAAGTACGCGTCCAACCTGCCAGGCTCCCTGCTGAGGGAGCAGAAAGCAGGACGTGACGGAAGAGAGGAAGGGGACCAGACATCCACAGGTGCTTCATCCATCAAAAGGAAGAGTGAGAGGGAGGAAACTCCCAGACTAAAGACTGAAGATCTACCCTCCCGTCTTCCCCCACTCTTGAGCCCCAGTGGCCTGCCAAGACCACGATCTGAAGTGCCCAACTTCTTGAGGAAGAAGAGGAAGTTATTTGATGATGATGAAGAGGAAGAGGAGGCTAGTGCTAAAAAGAAGGTAACATTTACACAGACATTCATTATTTGCATAAACAAATCTGCTGTAGCTGTTCATTCAGTAACTTTGACAATTTTATTTTAGCCGAAGAAACCCTGGAGGCCTGAAGAGGCTTTGATTCCCAAACTCTCTCACATGAAAACAGAAGAGGAGGAAGACAACTCTGATGAGGAGGAAGAGAGACAGGAGAAGCGAGAACTGCCTCATCGTTCATTTAAGAAAGACTACAGCACAGTGAGAAAAGAGGAAGATCATGAGGAAGAGAGGAGGGAGGCAAGAGATCCACCTTTCAGGTCCCTAAAGGATTTCAACACTCTACGGAAAGAGGAAGACCTAGAAGAAGAAAAGGAGGAAGATGATGAGGAAGAGGAGGAGGACAATAATGGCAAACGAGGCAGGGATAGTAGCCCTGCACTGAAGAACGTCTCCTTATCACTTGAGAGTGACGCATCACGGTGCAGCTCCCCAAGAGCAGGGCCGAGCAGTGAAGGTAGTGAGACGCAAGAGAAGGCCCCACGTGCTCGGGCGAAGCGACACCGGCGCAAGCCCCCTAACCACCAGCTCAGCGCAGAACTCATCAAGCAACTCAACATGGAGATCCGTCGCACAGAGCATTCACTGGCCAATGAGAACCAGCAGCCACTCAAGAGTGAACCCGAGGACAGCGAGAACGAGGAACCAAAGAGAGGCTTACGGAACGGGACTGCAGGAAATGGAGGAGGAGGTGGAGGAGTAGAAAGAGGAGCAGGTGGAGAGGGAGGAGGGGAGCGGCCGCACTTACGAGCAAGAGAGATGAATGGGACATCTTGGGAGCTGCGGCACTTCTACCCACCTCAGATTACCCCGCTTGGTTTGAACCGCAGTTCGCCTACAGTCAGACCAATTCCTGCACGTTCCCCTCCCAAGTGTGTTCAAATGGAGCGCCATGTGATTCGGCCACCTCCAATCTGCCCTCCACCTGATAGGTTACCACTAGCTGATGGCCGTAATCACATCGCTCCCAGAGAAGCATGGTTGGCTATTTTCAGTCACTTGAGGTATCGTGAACTTTGTGTGTCTATGCGAGTGTGCCGAACATGGAATCGCTGGTAAGAAAGACCTAAAGACTAGTTTATCACATTTCAAACTTGAGACTTCTTATCTGTGACCCTGTCCCAGATGCCACCCTCACTCCTTGTGGTCCATTTAAATTAGTTTACACCAGGGTTGCAGAACTCAGTTCCTGGAGGGCCACAGCCTTGCAGAGTTTAGCTTAAACTCACACCTAATTATACACACCTGATGCAGCTAATCAGGTCCTTCAAGCTTATTTGAAAACTACATGGTATTGGAGCAGGGTTGGAACTAAACTCTGCAGAACTGTGGTCCTCCAGGAATTGAGTTCTGCACCCCTGGTTTACACTTTGTTCCTGGAGCCCTCCCAACACTGCACATTTTGCATGCATCCTTAATCAAACACACCTGATTCAGGTCATTAGCCCATTAGTAGAATCTCCAAGACAGAGGTGTCCAAACCTGGTCCTGGAGGGCCGGTGTCCTGCAGAGTTTAGCTCCAACGTGCCTCAACATACCTGCCTGGAAGTTTCTAGCATGCCTAGTAACACATTGATTAGCTGGTTCAAGTGGGTTTAATTGGGGTAGGAGCTAAACTCTGCAGGACAGTGGCCCTGCAGGACTAGGATTGGACGCCACTGCTCCAAGACCTGAAATGAGTGTGTGAGAAAAAGGAGACATTCAAAATCTGCAGTGTTGGGGGGTACTCCAGGAACAAAGTTGAAACCCATTGGAGTAGTACAGTGTTTCCCAACCCTGTTCCTGGAGGCACACAAACAGTACACATTTTCAAACTCTTCCTAATCAAACACAGCTGATTCAACTCATCATCCCATTAATAAGGACTCTAAGGCTACGTCCACACGAAGCCAGAGCTTTCCCCATCCAATCTTTTTTTCCCCTCATCTCAAGAAATATCTGGCGTTTTCAGATTACATGCCAGACCAGATTTCAGTTTCACTCTCCCAAAACGCCGGATCCGTGTGGACAAAACGCCCATTTGAAAACTACATGGTATGTGTGTTGGGGCAGGGTTGGAACTAAACTCTGCATGGCTGCGGCCCTCCAGGAGCGGAGTTTGACACCCCTGCTCTAAGACCTAAAATGGATGGGTCAAACAAGGTAGACATGCAAAATGTAAACAGGATTGGGAAATACTGTGCTGATGTGAAATCCCATTTCAACCATGAAATGACAAATAGGACACCCTACCACACGGGTGTCCAGTCCTTCTATTAAAGGGCCACATTCCTGCAGAGTTTCCCTTTAAAGGTGGGGTAAGCGATTTTTCAAAAACGCTTTAGAAAGCTGATTCGGGCCGTCTAGCAAAACAAACTTGTAGCCAGTCAGCAGTAAGGGGCGTGTCTACTCATGATGTGGAGGAGAGAACGTTCAGTGCACAGGACGGACAATTAGCGAGCCAAGCGACAGAAAGATAGAGATGGTGGATAAAAAATAAAAGAGGAAAACGTCTGCGGAACAAAAGAAGGCTTAAGGCAAGAAGTAGGACCCTGTGGCCATTACAGAGCAGAAGCTCAAATCATTTAATGAGCTTCACTACATTCATTTGTGGAAGTTTGGACTGAAACGTGCAGAATCTCCCCTCAAAATCTGGATTTGGCAAACGGTCAAATAGGTTTAGGTGATGCAAGAGGGGAGGTAAACCTTTGGTGGTCTTTAAGCAATGCTTCAGATGCCAAAAAAATATAAAAAGCAATAGGTAGAAGCATATTCAAAAAAACAAAAATAACCAAACCGAAAGAATATGGAAACCGGGTTGATTCTGATCAATGCCAACCACCACAAGCGTGCACTAGGCCACAGACGTAAGGGGGTGGGGATGGGGCAGGGGCGCAGGAGGGGAAGAAGAAGGGTGGAGGGATGGAAAGGTGTTGGGTGGATTGGTAGAGAACAGGAATGACAGGGAGGGAAAGGGAGGGGAGGGAAGGTGGCGTTAACAGCCCAAAGGTCCCAGAGCGTCTTACCATCACAGGTGCCGTTGGTCGCGAGCGCACCAGTCTCTGGCATCGCCGCATCACAAGAAATTTGATGCATGATTATCGCGTTTATGAAGTTGGCCGCTGTCATGGTGGTCTTACCGAGTGCTCGAAGTTCGTGTTCCTGTATGGACATCACTTTGTTTTGAGTCTTTTCCCTACTTGACGCGCTGCTGATGCCATCCCCACCGCGGGACGGGATGGAACCGCTGCCGCTGTTGTTTTCGGAAGCCAGCAAGGGGTGCCCTCGACTTGTGGGCAGACCGAGGTGGGCACCAGGGGCCTGGCTGTACGGAGAGGGGTATGACCCACCGGCACCAGGGCTGGCCAGCTTGGGGTCAGACTTGGAAGAGGATGAAAGGTCCTGATGTTTGGGCAGACCTCCACGCCCATGGCTTTTGCCCCCATCTCTATTTGAATCTTTAGCGTTTGAGTCTGTACCGGATGGGTAACCCTCATTGGCTAGACCAGACCGAAGGTGCCCACTGAAGCCCTGGTAGCGAGCAGATCCTGGTGGCCTGAAGAAAGGTAAAGGTAAACAAATTGTTGTTTATCTCACTGGCCTTACCATCAGGCAGCAGTTTGAGCAGTGGAGACTCACCGCAGCACAGAGGGACTGTTGTGCTCAGAATTGGGCAGGCTCTTTGAGCTGGTGTTGTGCAGAACACTAGGTCTCTGCTGCAGGCTGTCCTGGGGACGAGGGGAGAGCGGAGACGACTGGTGACTGTATGGATGAGATTGGGGACGAGAACTGCTGCTGCCACCCACCTGTTCTGGTGCTCCTGTTTGGACACAATGTTCAGACATTTAGCAACGCTGATCTGCATATTGATTATTGGCTAAAGTACACGGACACCGAACAACTCAATATGAATCCAATTATAATTGCAGCTGTAAATCTGTGTTTTAGGAAACTGAAATGAAGCTGAAATGAAATATGAAAATGAAAATATATAAAAATATCAGATGAAAAACTGAAAAATATATGTTAAAGTTGAAATACTAAAAGGACTAAAACTGAAATAAAACTAAATTAAAGCTATATAGAAATTGAAAACCTCAAAAACTAATAAAAAAAGACAAAAGTACATTACTAAAATAAACTAAAAAAACAAACTAAAATTAGAAAGAAAACTGAAAATATAAAAACAAGTCAATTAAACATTGATAAATACTATATAAATGGTTCTAAAATAACAGTTGTAAAACAGTTAATGATTTATCAAGTTAATTGTAAAATCTGTCAATTAGCTAAATTAATTACAATTAATCCTATAAATATTTGCTGAAAAGAGCCCCCAAAGACGACAATATAAAGACGTTCCATAAATTGGCTGTACACATTAAAAGTAAAACGCAGTGAGGGCGCTCACCTGGTCTCCATATAGGGGCATGTTCCACGTTACCATGACCGAGGGACTTGTCTCTTTCTCTGTCCCTGTCTTTCTCACGCTCTCGCTCTCGGTCTCGTTCCCTGTCCCTCTCTCGATCCCGCTCTCGCTCTCTCTCACGATCCCGCTCTCTTTCCCTCTCTCTCTCCCTCTCCCGTTCTCTTTCTCTCTCTGAGGACGTCGAACTGCCTTGGATCTTGCTCATGTGAGAGGCTCCCACTGTTGAGAGATAGAGGTATAAAGTGAATGACACTTATAAAGAAAATTTGTTTTAAATCACCATGTTGTTTGTTTGAGTGAGCGTGTTGCTTTGTACCTGGTGAGATGGGAGATGTGTTGTAGGCTCCGCTGGGAAAAGCTGGAGAGGTTCCTGGGATGTATGTGATACGATCCATGGGAGAGGCAGATGTTCCTGCAAATGGACGGAAAAAATTAACGTCCATCAGATTATCATAAGTATGTAACATGTTGTTTTTATTTTTGTATTCAGATACATGACCAGGTTATTTGGAATAGTTCTCAATTTTTCTTTTTTAAATATACCATTGTTTACTAACTCTCATGCAATTGTCAGTGAATAATGGCTTAAAGGTGGGTTAAGCGATTTTTCAAAAACGCTTTAGAAAACTGATTCGGGCCGAATAGCAAAACAAACTTGTAGCCAATCAGCAGTAAGGGGCGTGTCTACTCATGATGTGGAGGAGAGAACGTTCAGTGCACAGGACGGACAATTAGCGAGCCAAGCGACAGAAAGATAGAGATGGTGGATAAAAAATAAAAGAGGAAAACGTCTGCGGAACAAAAGAAGGCTTAAGGCAAGAAGTAGGACCTGTGTAAATATCGGATCAGCTTTCCAGCGCTGGAGAGAACTCAAGGAGCGGAAGGCCTGCGATCGGACGCCAAGGTTGCTTTCTTTCTTTTTGATAGGTGAGTAACACCATTTCTGCGCCGCAACAGCTAAAGTCTGTCTAGTACACTGGACGCGACAAAGCGACCGTTGAAAATCATTTGAAATTTGTGTCAATACGTCATGAATAGAACGCAGCAGCAGTTTTCTGTCGGGGATTTGTCATGTCGTGCCACGCCGCATCCAGTGTAGACCAT